CCATGATTTACTCACCCTCAAGCCATCCTAGGTGCATATGACTTTCTTCTTTCAGACGAATACAATCGGAGTTATATTAAAACATGTCCTGGCTCTTCCAAGCTTTATAATGGCAGTGAATGGGGGTTGAGATTTTGAAGCCCAAAAAAGTGCATCCATTTATCATTAAAAGTGCTCCACACAGCTCCGGGGGGTTAATAAAGGCCTCCTGAATATTTTTACATATCAAAGACTGCACACGATTATGATAGTGTGATGCATCACAATCTATTGAATTGTTACACACAAAATATTCCAATCCCATTTTCTCTTAGCGTCTCTCTTGTGTTCCCAACGGGCCGGGCCCCTCTGAGTCGGAATTACTACTCCATAAAACATTTCCACTGGGAGAAAGGGGGGAAAAACGAGCGAGTGTGTGACTAACATGTGACCTTCCCATCCAGGCCCGAGCACACTGACTAAATATACATCTCAGAATAAGATGCCGCCAAAAGATTATGGACAAAGGTTTAAGTGACGATTCAAACGGAGCACTTACAGAGGATTTTGACTTGGAAAGAAAGAGTGTGAGAGAGAGATAATAGCAGTGGGGGAAGTGAGGGGCTGAGGGTGACGGACCCCTGAAGTCACGGCGGAGTTTAGCAGTACAGGGGGGGGGCGGATACTGCTTCGGATTAGCCGCACTTTGAGGAAGGGCCACAAAAGGCTGTTAGAAAGGAACTGGAGGAGATTAGAAGCGACTGGAGGGAGTGTTCATGTTCTCTCACACACAGAGAGGATATATCACTTCCAGGGCGTCCCACAACTGAAATCCCAGGCTACTGGAAATCTCCCCCCGTGCCAGATCTCTGTCGTTCGTATACGCAGACATAAACACCATTATCATCAACCAAATGGAAGAGGATTTGATTTTATCCTCGACTGATATGAACCACACTGCATTGAGATTAATTTGGGAAATGAAAAAGAAAAAGCAGAATTCAAAACTAATTAATCAGGATCACGGCAAAAGATGCCCAGTCTTTCTGCCGATGAAGACACAATCTGGAGAATCAGTTTTTTTGGATTCAGATCCTCCCCAGGATTTGATCGGCTCCAGCTTTCTGTCGTTTTCCATCTCGGCGCGTATCAGCATACATATGACAGAGACATTATGGTAAACCAGAGCGCGTCTACGGAGGACTATGCCAAATGGGTATTAAGAAAGACAAATGCAAGCTCATGAAAAGCTGTCTGAATGCAGAATCTTGCCAACAAAAACCCACAAGTCCAATTATTTTTTGTTGTCAATATAACTGCCAATCACAGAATGTGGCTTCTCATTTACTTACATTTCATATAGTGAGAGGGGCCTTCGAATATTGTGGACATTGGAGGGCCTTCAAGTCAAAAAGGTTGATGACCACTGCTTTAACATCTACAACTGAGCCAACATCAGTAGCAGACAGCAGGTAACATGCAGCTATTATCAATTATTGCTCTATCAGTATTGCTCTGCATCACCAGGTCTGCTTGTATTGTACAGGTGTTTTCGCAACTGTGTTTTGAAGGCTAATCTCAGCCTGGACTGACCAGTTACTGCTTAATCCATTAACAAGATTTTAGAAAAGTACTAGTAATATCAGTATCCCTGCACATTATACATGTATGTGTGTGGCCTCACTGACGTCAGACCAAAGAGAAAATGGATTCATAGGTGAAGCAAGTTACATTTAAGATGATTAAAAAAAAAAGACCATTTTATTCTTTGGAATAATGTAGGCTGATAAAGTAAACGGAAATTAATTCTGACTTCATGTCAAAGCACCAATTTAGTTTTACTGATAACATGCACAAAACAAAATGCTGCCTTTATAAATTCGGCTACAGCAGGCACTGCTGAATCAAACGGTCAGGAATGCTATAAATATCGTTCAGTGGAGACAACATGACATACACGAGAACAAACAGTTCACAAAGAGCTGACAAAGTGTGCGGTTGCTAGACGTGTTCATTCGTTGCGATGTGAAGCAACGATTATCAGGAAACCAGCTCAACCAGTCAAACTGGTCCCTATTCAGTCGCTGAAAAGTCTCTGTAGTTGGCAGCTTCAATCCACATCGACGTGCATGAAATCAGTCCTCAAAACCCAACAAATGAAGACTTGCCCTAAAAGACCCAGAAGTCTCATTAGGATATTTCCAGGAGGCGAAAGAACTATATTTTTGTATCAGGACTTAATCCTTGTAGACTCTAAAGCAGCAAGGAGTTCCATGTGTAGACCTTAAAACAAATAAACCATGTAACAATACGAATAAGCCCAGTATCGCTTCTCAGCATGGTAGTACCATTAAGCTTCTAGTAGTTTTTGTTACACAGCTGGATAATGCACTCGCAGGTCAGGTAGTGATTTGGAGGTGTTGTGCCTTTGGTGTCGGCTGGGCTAAAGTTAGCAGTAGGGGCTAATCTACCATGAGAGCAGAGCATGAGGGAGATGTTAGTGGTAGAAGGGGGTCAATCGAGGGCTACATTACTGCCTTTCCCGCAGGCAACCGTGGGGATTCCTGGGATTGAATAAAATCTCAGCCAATCTCAGTCACAGGCTACGTAAGAGCAAAATAAATAAATAAATAAATAAATAAGAGGAAATCACATCCTGAGGGCATCCCCCACCGGCAGAGACTGAATGATCTCGGTTCACTCACGCCTCTTTTACCTTCTCCAGCCCTCCAGCTCTCTATTAGACACCTCTCTCTCTCTCTCTCTCTCATTAATTATCGCAATTCATTTGGAAATTTCGGAGACACTGTTGCTCTGAATGAGCTATTTGTATCTGCTAACCTATAAACATACACACACCATATCCTGAATGTTTTTCACCCTGACAGATGATGTGCACACCTTGGAGTTTTCACTGGCCTGGTTTCCAAAAGCAACTAATCTCGCATGGCCGACTTTTGGCGTCCATGCTTATCTTGGACTGGAAGTAACCTTGTGACCAACATGTAGCACGATATAAGGTCTATGCTGGGTAAATCAGAAAAGTCAGTACCACCACAATAACATTCAGGTGCAAAAAAAAAAAAACGCTTTCACAGAGTGATGCAATGTTCTGCAGAGTTTAGCTCTGTGTGCTCCAACACACTTCACACAGAACGCATTTTTCCATTCCAATGCGCTGCATTTCCATTGCTTTTCTTTGTAAACGCACTAAACAGACGTCTATGACCGTTGCGCTCGCGTCTCATGTCTTTTGCAGCGCCTCACACATGACCGCCGCGTTTTTAAGACGCCGTGTCAAGTTTTCAGCTTTTACACGCAGCGTCGCTCATGTCAGTTCCAAAACAGTGGACCAATCAGAAGACCCCGGAGGCAGGGCAAGAGCTGTGAACTTTTGTTTACAGAAGCAAGTTGGCATGGAAATGTTTTATCTGATGGCAACATGGCGGAGGAGGCGTTCTGTGCTGCGCTTTTTAAAAAACCATTCCTGATCTCTGCTTCTCACACTTTTAGACGTGTTTTGTGTGAACAGCCCCTTACCTGTAAGTGTCTAGTAACCCTGAAGCCCATGATTAGCTCGTTCAGTTGTGTTTTCTTAGGACTGGAGCTAAACTCTGCAGGAGAAGGGACCTTTAGGAGCAGGACTGGACACCATGAATTAGGAACGTAGTTTACGGTTTCTACTACCTGCCCCAAAACTCACGAATCTTACAGAGTTAGATTCAAACGAAACCTTTACTCTCCCAATCCCTGTATAGCAGTATTTCCAAACCCTGTTCGTAGAGTAGGGCCCTATGATTTCCATGATGCGGAAAACACGTACTGAATCGTGGAATCCAGTCATAAAAATGGAATTTACTGTGTAACGCAGAATGTCACAATTTGCCAAATTTTGGACTAATAAATCGAAAGTAGGTCACTTCACTTGAATCAGATTGCGAAAAGGACTCGTGTCTGTGAATATTAAACCGCAAAAAGACTTTTAAATATGAGTCCTGCATGTTCTGCGTGTCTCTGTGTGAATGAATGGCGCAGACTACACACATCCTGAAGCGTGCCATCTCACTAAACGAGGACATGAATATATGAACGTTGTCTCCAGAACTTGAAAGAAACTTGTGAAACAAATATATTACTTACATTATTATTAAAACTTAATTTTTTTTAAGGAATAATCTACATTTTTCTTCACGTTTTAACAGTACAACTGTTGTGCAGCACTTAGTTTGGCAAAAAGTTGAAAGGGTTTAATTTTCATTGGATTACAAGAAAAATTGTATTCATGCTTTATGCCTTCATTGGATTACCAGAAAAAAAAAAAAAAAAAAAACGTATTTCATTTAGGACCCTAAAATGTGTAATTTTTAACTTGTAATAAATTGCTGTTAACTTGTATAAGTTTCATGATTTCAAGACATGCTTTTTGATTAATAAACTTTAATTTAACCATTAAAATGGAGTACAGAAAAATAAAAATGGTGGGAAAAAAACCGGAATCCAGACAAAATTTCAATGGAAAAAAACGGATTTCATAGGGCCCTAGTAGAGGCACCCGAACAGTACACATTTTCCATTTCAGCTCTTGGAGTCTGAACTGAAGAGCTGATGTTTGATTAGGAAGAGTTTGAAAGTGTGCAGTGTTAGAGGGGACCTCCAGGAACAAGGCTGTGAAACACTTCTGGATAGTTTTATCTATGACTACAGTCGTCCAGCCAATTACTATCCTAAAGAAAAAGACAGTCGCCCAGTGATTTGAGACACAAGTGGAGACTGGATAAGTTTTTATATGCTGCCTGTGATAGTCAACTAAAGACATTCCGTTGAACATCCAAAGCACATTGCATAGAGTCAATGCTTGTAAAGAATGAGTTACCACTACAAAAGTGATTTCCTCGTCAGGACAGCTTATCTTTAAGCACCTTAAACCGTTTTGTAAGCTAGCACGGCATGAGGTTAGTCTGGTTTGAAAGCCTCATGGGACTCACAGGCAGGCTGGAGGGTCGTCCCTGCATGGTCTCCTCTGGACCGCCCTTCACGGACCCCATGGGCTGATTGGAGGAAGGAGCTGAAGACTGAGAGCTGAAGGAGTCTTGAGACAGCTCCTGAGGAATAAAGTCAGGACAACTAAATGTAGAAGCACTTCTGAAAGGGCAACAAGGATAGCGTTCACCGACGCAACTCCAAGTAAGTAAAACGCTGTTAAAACCCACCTTATTGATTTTGGTTTTTACCTGAGGTGGCGGAGGAAAGCGCTGGAAGGGCGACTGCTGCTGCTGCTGAGACTGCAGTGGAGGGGTTTGGGAGTAAGGTGAGGGCTGACCCTGTCCTGAAGCTTGCTGGGATGACGGAGGGGGCGCCGAGACGGGCGGCTGCGATTGTGGCGGGCCTTGCGGCTGTTGTGAGGGCCCCTGCTGCTGAGGAGGCTGCCCTGGACCGGAAGGTGGTTGAGTGTATCCGGGCTGCGACCCCTGCTGGCCCTGAGACGGACCCTGTGACTGAGGGGGACCCTGGGACTGGGGGAAGGCTGGCTGTCCCGACTGTGGCTGTGGAGTCTGGGAGTATGGAGGCTGGCCCTGAGGGGGAACGTAAGGGGGCCCACTCTGGCCATGGGGAGGGCCAGGGGGTTGCTGGGAGTAAGGGGGCTGAGAGGCCGCTCCAGTGGAGGGCTGCTGGGGGTATGGAGACGGCTGGGGGCCTCCGTGAGGTGAAGGGCCCTGTTGTCCGTAGTAGCCACCTTGGTTCTGAGCATAACCACTGGGGCCATGCTGTCCAAAGCCAATCTATAGAGAAAAAAACACAGCAGGAACCAAAGAGTGCATCAATTAAAAAGCAAACAATAATTTTGCAATGTAGAGCTATAAACTAGAGACACTGATATATCTGTGATCATTTGTAATTGTTGGCGTGTGCTTAAATTCCTGATCACAATGCATGCAAATCAGAGCTGGTTATTGGCACCGATTTGCTGATCTGATTCAGATTCACAGACTATCGATTTCACATTGATCATATATATAAAATGCAAACGTACATATGACTATTATTTTGATTGAACATTTGCATGTGTGTTCAGTGTCATATTTGATACATCAGGATTTTATGGCTCATGTTAGTATAATATAGTAAGAAAAAAGACCTCATACTTGAGGGAAAAAAAATATATATATAAAACAAAATGCAATGCAATACAATGATTGAGAAATGAACAAATAATCGTTCTTCAAAAGCCTGATCATATTTGATATTCAACACGATTTTTCTAAAGCGATGTCTAGATAATCAAGTAAACCTAGTAAGTCCAGAAGTGTTTGTTCTGAAATATTACGAACAATAAAAAAGTTATGCTTAGCTTTATTTTAACAGCATTTCTCTAGATTTGTAATGAGGAGCATGTTATAAATAATATTATCAACTACACACAAAACATGAAGTTCTTTCTTCATGCCAAATTATTTTTAAAAAAAAAGCACTAAAAATCTTACAGAATAAAGTGTTTAGTTAGTTTAGCAGTATTATTTGTACTAAAAGTAGCAGTTCCCTAGCTTCTAAACATTCTTTTGAATTATTGAATTTTTTTTTAATTAAATCATTATTGTTTGTTTGCATGTTTTCATGATTTCAAAAGTTCTGATTAAAGTGTTTTCCACTCAAGCTTTTGTCATGTGTGCGCGGAGAGGAAAGCACAGCACAGGGAACTGCTTGGAAATTGTAACCCGCAACACTTTCAGTGAAAGGGGTGAACTGACACTCAGTTTAGAGCCAGCGTAACCCGTAAATAAAACTGAAACAGATGAGTGTAAGAGGTGCAGGCCCAGTCCGCAACCAGCAATACAGCAGACTCACTACAAACAAAAACTTCACTGGCTATTTCAAGCATCCACTGGAAATATATAATAAGAAGCCCTGGTGCAATGTTTTTATTATTAATATTCAAAAATGAACACAAAAGCGCAGTGGCATAATTGTAGTGGATTGTTTGTTGCTGTGTTCTATGTTTACTTCTGTATTTTGGTGTATATGCTTACATTTTGTACAGCACTTTGGCCAACAGCTGTTGTTTTTAAATGTGCTTTATAAATAAATATGACTGACTGACTGACAAAAGGCCAATGTAAATTCATAATCACTCATGATCAGTTATGGGTCATAATATTTTCATGTTTATTGGTATCAGCAAAAATTTGTATTATAATGATGAGAATCAAGTTGGCAAGGGAGCGTATAAAACAGGAGTTAATGTAAGTACATTGTGAGATGTGTTCATTCACACTCTGAAACGGCTCACAATGGCAGCAAAGAGACATATTTTAGGTTTCAGGAGGACAGAGGTCAGTGTTTTCTACAGAGCTCTTATCCATCTGAAGGACCGGTGTGCAAACAGGCTTTCAGGGAAATGCTTGCATTTCATTACTTTCAGTCAGCATTCAAAAAAATGTGACCTTGCTGGAGAGTGTACCGTGTGACACAAAAGCCTGATGGTGACAAGCTGGGCACTTTCCCTCTCAAGGAGAAAGGAAATATGAAAATGGGGAAAAAAACCCTCTGACAGGGAGGTTTAATAAAAACAACCTGAAGTGCATGCTCTATGCCACTCTACAAATGGATGGCACACCAGTGCATCTGCTTACTCGACACAAGCACAATGAGGCACCCGGCGCAGACAACAGGATGAAGAAAGAGGCACTTGAAGACCACCACACACAAACCTTCAGACGTGCGAGGAAATCCCCACGTGACAAACCTGAGCTTCTCTGTGACCTCATAACCACCTTCTTTGAAAGCACAGATGAAAAGACCCATGAGCTCATGCTGCAATGATCAAGAATGTCTTAAGAGCATCAGAAGCCTTCAGGTTCAAGCTGAGACTCTGAAAAACAAAAATCTGGCAGCAGAGGAAAAGGTCTGCCGTTTATTCAGCTGCAGCGATAGGGATTTCCTGGGTTTCTTCTGCGAGGCGTATTTGGAGTTTCAGCGCGAGAGCGCCCTCTGGCCTCCGGATGGAGATTTACTACTGATCACAGAACCGTGCATCACTGAAAGATACGCATGACAATCACAGCTTCTGTCGAATCGCGATCTCGATTCCATTTCGATTTATCGTGCAGCCCTACTGCCCACTATATAAACGAACAGAATGGCTGGGCCTGAATTCTACTGTATGGAGCTAAAATAGTCTAAATTTTTTTTCTACCATTTTGAATAATGTACCAAATAGCTTCTGGCCCTTATTGACCTCCAATAGTAGCTCTCCCCTCCCCCCTCCTTCTGTGTCTGTGATGTTTTAATGCACCAGCAACACGTGCTACTGCAGAGTGATGGAAAGGGTCTCTTTAACAACCCATTGAGCAAAGGTGATTTGTAAAATTGTATTTATTTTTTTATTAAACTAAACAAAGTGCAAGCTTGTATGTGAAAATCGTCACTTGAAGTCATACCTTCATCTCAGAGTGAACATTTCTGACAACTGAGTTTTGGTGATACCTACTGAACGTTATTTTTGTCATCATTTTTTTCTGTTTGGACGATATGTCAGAAAATAAACGCTGACAGATATTGGTTTTTTTGACAGCGATGCCGATATCTTGGAAAGCAGGGTGGCCGACATAAAGTAGATATAATTATATTTATTTTAATTCATATTTAAGAAATTTGAAATAATTTGAAAATGGATTAAAAAATACATTTGTAAAATAAACATACTTATACTTTAGATGACAAAGTATTTTCCACAAATAAATAAATATTTAATAAAAATATAATTAAAAAGGAAGTAAACTGTAACCAACAGGGCACTCAGTATTCTGGTAAGTTTGTGTGCTAAGGTATCACTCATTTTACATACAGCACACAGTGGAAATGACATGAATATGACAGTGGGCAAATGCATAAAGCGCAGCATAATTTGAAATCATGATTTTAATGTTTAAAGCATTCAGTTTGCACTGACCGAAAGTCACGCAGCGAACACGCGATCGTGCAGGTCACATGCACACTTCACGATCAAGTTTGCAAGGTTTGTGAAATTTAATTTCCATTAGCCATTCAAAGATTTGTTTAAATGATGTAAATACGTATTTGCTGAATGCTGACGGCAAACGAGAAAGTATAATGTTTGCCTTTCTATTACTAATAATATAAAAGCAATCGTTATAATACTTTTTGTATACATTTTAATTCCTTTGTTTAACCGTTCTATCTGATTATTAGACAGACTTCTATCTGTATTAGACAGAACTGTTAACGACAATGGCGAACAAGAGGGAGAATGTGAGCATTGTGTGCTCAGGCGCTGCCACTCTCAGCGCCGTCAAAATAAAAGTCCCACCTCGAACGCATTGGCCAAACAGAAAAACTTATCGGCCAATGCCGATAATTGAAAAATGCCAAATGTCGACCGATATATCGGCCTTGGCGTTATATCGGTCGACCACTACTTTTGTCGACATATGGGACTTTATTTTGACAGATCTTATTTCTCCAGTTATCCATCTCCGTTAGTTTATTTCCTCTGTTTAAAAGTTCTGACGAATAAATTATTACACAGAACTTTTAAACAAAGTTATTAAGGGCTATACTGATAGCGTTTGCTTTTGTTATTATTATCAGAAAGGCAAACACTACAATACTTACTCATCTACTGTCAATACACATTTCATTTGAACAAGTCTTTGGATATCTAATAATCGTTTAATTTTACTAACCCTGCAAACTTAGCAAAATCCAGCTGTCATTAAACAGTTTTTTTTATTTGTGAAAAACACTATAAAAGAACTACAGAATCAAGAAGTTGCCATCTTAAGAAAAAAAAAAAAGGTAAAAAAAAAAACTAATTTTTTTACAGATTTATCAAGTTCATTTTTTATATTTGTTAATTTTCAAATTATACAATTTAGTAAATATATAGTAAATTAATAAAATATAGATTTAATTTCAGCAAGTGTTATGCATGTGCTTTTACCATCTTTAAATTAAATATTGTGATAACTTTCACCATTGTTCAAAAATTTGGGGTCAGTAAGATTTTTAATGTTTTTTAAAATAGTTTCTTCTGCTCATCAAGACTGCATTTATTTGATCAAAAATACAGAAAAAAACAGTAGTATTATGAAATATTACAATTTAAAATAAATAAAAATAAAATAAAAAGACTAATATGCTAAGAAAATATTTTTATTTTGAATAAATGCTGTTCTTTTCACCGGTTTATTCATCAAAGAATCCTGAAAACACTATCACAGTTTAAAAAAAAATATATTATGCAGCACAATAGTTTCCAACATTGATGATAATAATAAGTCCTCATATTATACTGATTTCCAAAGGATCATGTGACACTGAAGACTGGAGTAATGATGTTGAAAATTCAGCTTTGATCACAGCAATAAATTATATTTTAAAGTATATTAAGATAGAAAACCATTATTTTAACTTTTAATCATTTCACAATATCACTCTTCTGTAGTGATACAGAAGAGTGATAAAAAATATGGAATATTGTTTCCATATTTTTGATCATATAAATGCAGCCTTGATGAGCAGAAGAAACTTATTTTAAAAAACAAAACAAAACAAAACATTAAAAATCTTCCTGTGTATATCGATTTTATATTGGCTATCGTCTCTCTAAATTGCTCTCAGCATCAGCCATCCAAAAACCCAAAAAAAAAACATGAATACGCTGAACTGACCTGTTGTCCGTACTGTATTCCGCTCATGCTTCCGGGAGTGCGGCCCTGCATGCTCATAGGATACCTCTGGGGTCCCGGGGCACCGTAACCCTGTCCTGGGTAAGGAGGACCCTGCTGGGAGCCAGGGGGAGGCCCCTGCTGCTGAGAGTAGGGGTTTCCACCACCATAATGTTGCCCTCGAATTTTACCCACCTGGTCCATGGGGCCTGGAGGCTGAAAGAGACAAAGAGAACGACAGTAAGCACTAATAATTCAGCGGCACGGTACAAAATCAGCTGGTGCCATACAGGAGGAGAAATTACTGTGGTACGTTTCATTGAGCCGACTGAACACCAAGCATTCGAGTCATTCATTTTCTGAAAGCATTCACTTAGGCATCTCTGGTTAAGATGAAGTCAATGGTGATCAATATCAAGAGAGGCTTGTTTCCGCTGTTAAGACTGAAAACAATCACAATGCCATATAACAGAGAATTAGCCGGAGCACAGCAAAGGCACACCAGCCCAAATCAAAAATAGATCCGTATGCTTCAAACACAGTGCCAGTGAAGGGAGGGGAAACTGGCAGTGAATGAATGAGAGAATGAAAGCAGCAGTTCAGCCTGCCAGGGGCTGGAGATTGGATGAACGGTCAACTTCCCTTTGAAAACAGACAAGAGGAAACAGAATAAAGTCTTTGGGACTGCGGGACTGGAAGACGGTGCGTGGGAATTACACAAAGATGACAGGGGCGGAAACGGAGATCATAAACTAGAGATGCACCGATTGCAATTTTCTTGGCCGATACCGATTTTTTGTTAGTGTGATCTGCCGATTCCGATTTTCTTTTGTTCTTTGATTAACATGACAGACAGCAGCATAAATATTGGACTGCGGTCCCTTTAAGAGTTTATCCATGGACCCAATATACTGTTACACAACATGCGTTCTCTTTCTCAACTATTTAACATTACAAAACTGACTGAGTTTAACTGGATACTCGCCAAAACGGGCATTCTGACATATTTTTTTTAATGTATTTGAACGTTTTAGCGCAGTTAGCTACTCATTTTGGTATTTGTGGCTCACAAGCTGTTTGAGACTGAGCGCGGCTTGAGCGCTCCACTAATACTGATCAGTGGTGGTGCGCGCGCTTTTAGTGTAAGCGCGAAACCTGCGGGAATTACTAAAATAATGCGCAATACAAGCACTATTTAACCGGAGCGAATGAGACGTGTGTGAGAGAGAAGGGGTCGTCGGAGAGAAGAGAGCGAGAATGCGCGGCTGACGTTATTGCCTGTGCCGCTGGTAACAAACAGACCGGCTCAGAATCGGAAAGAAGTGAGACTGACCGATCCGGGCCGATCATAAGGAAAACCGGCCGATTCCGATCCCTGGCCGATTGATCGGTGCATCTCTATCATAAACTTAAATTTGCCGATGAACTGCCCATCTTTTTTCCATTTGTGAAAGCGTTTTGATTCTGAAGTTGTTTTACGAGACTCGAAATGAATAGTAAAGTAACATGAGATTCAGAAAGAACAAAACTACATCGTTCACATTATAAATCAGCAAAACTCATTACTCATGATTTTCCCACTTCTCAAAGATCACTAGGACCAGTAAAGGCACAGAGACACAGGACAGGACTCTTGAAACCTGAGAATAGATGACAATAACCCTGAACCAACATACAGAAATACCAAACTTTCCTATAAGTTTGATCGCAACATAATCACTGCTGTTAACAGTGTTCACTGTTTGTTTGAATACATGTCATTAACGGCATGATTTTTACTGTACATTTCTGCCATTTGGACATCACCTTGACAGTCACCACTGATAAGCTACTCCTAAATGTAATGTAGAAACGTTCATTTTCTGAATTGAAATGGTCACAGGTCCCAGCAGCTCTAATGAGGCTCTTCCATCAGTAGGAGGAAGAAACATGATATTTTTAAACCGATGCTTCTAGTGTGGACAACTCAGTTGATTAATGGAAGAAATATTGTTTTGTAGCTCAGAAGTCCAGCACAGAGACAGCTTGTTCAAGTGATCATTTTTGATAACACACAGGGCCCTATGATTTCCACGGAATGGAATTTACTGTGTAAGATGGAATGTCACGGAATTTGCCAAATCATGAATGAATAAATCAAAAGTAGGACAGTACACTCAAATCAAATTGTGATATGGACTAGAGTCTGCGAATATTAAACCACAAAAAGACTATTTAAATATGAAATTTGAGAAAAACTACCATCATATCACATACACACACAAATCTCTTAACGGCAACCCGTCAAAACAAAAGTTCGGGTTAACTTGAAGAAACTGTGATAAATATATTACTATTGTACAGTAGAACGTACGTCTTACTACTAATACTGCTGCTACTAAATTTAATACTCAAACTTTATTTTTAAGGGGAAAAAAATTTAAAAAAATAAAAACGCATGGAATTTCTGCCATGTTTTAATTTTAATAGTAAACCTCTGTTGTGCAGCACTTTGTTTGCCAAAAAAAGAAAAACTGTTTGTTTGATTTTCATTTGATTCAAATATCAATTAAATTAATGTTTTATGCCATAATTTGATTACCAGAAGCATTCAATTACATAACACAGAATTTCTGAGGGGGGAGGGGTCGTTTTGATTATTACATTTTATTAAACTATTAAAATGGAATCCAGAAAAATGAAAATGGAAAACAAAGAATTTGATGGAAAACAAAGCAGAAATTGAGAGAAAGAAAAAAAACATTTCATAGGGCACTAAATAATTTGATTTTTGTTCAACTTTTAATAAATTACTGTTAACTAATAAAAGTTCCGTGTTTAAAATGGGGGAAAAAATTAAAAAAGGAAAAAATGGAATTTGTTAAAAAAATTAAATGGAACTTGGGAAAAAAATGCAACAGATTTTATAGGGCCCTAAATACAGCAGTGTTCACGTATATAAGAAGAGTAGGTGCTTCATCTCGTCTACATGCTGTGATGAAGCATGAGGTTACAGCTGAGATCAGTGAAGCCTTTGACCGAAAGTGTAATGGAAGAGGATGAAGAAGAAGAAGAATTATGTTTGAACAAAGATCTGAGCAAACCTCTGACCTCAAGTTGCCATCTCCATTTACAGTCTTGGGATTTTACATGGTTAGAATAAGTAAGATTTAATGCCGCTGCATGTCCAGTGAAAACTATTACTTCAACAACAAATTTATTTCTGTATGTCGCTTTGAGGAAACGGCCCACAAATCAAGACGGCAGGCCAATGGACGTCTAATTCCTCGTTCTGCTCGAGACTGGGGTAAACATGTAGTTGTCGGCACGTTCCCGCATCCAGTCTGGAAAACGCTGAGGTTGCTTTCACACAGTATTATGTAGATGAATCACCCCCGGGCTCCTGAAGTGTGGGAATGAGGGTGGGCCGTGACGGCGAGAGAGAGAATGACAGTTGTTCAGAAATGAAGTGCTTTTAATTCATCCTCGGGCAAGGTCAGAGATGAGCAGCAGCATATCTCGCCGTCTCTCGTTTTTAAATAGACAGACGTACTTTATTGATCCCTGAGGGGAATTCAAGGATTTCCCGCCGCAGTCTTACTCGCTGAGGGCCAGAGCTTCCCCTTTAACTTTTTAATCAATGATACTAGTTAACCGCAACAATAACAATGAGCCAGTCGTGGGATTTTCTCTTGAAACATCCCTGGCTTTCCCGAAAAAAAGACCTTGCAGAAACCCGAAATCTATTTGAAACAGCGGCTTTTTGAAACGGGATGATTAAGGAGAAATAAATGCAGTGTGAGAATTGCTTATTAGCAATAGACTGGATCAGGAAAAAGAACATTTTACTTGCATCTTCCAAAAAAGCTAAAAACAAAAGAAATAAAGACACAAGTGTAAAACATTTTTTTTTAAAAGTGTAAATAAAAATTGTTAAATAATGAAGAAAAAAATAATGAAGAAAAAACTAAATATTTTAATTCAAGAATTACTTCAAATTTACAGCAGTGTAGATTTAATAATCCCCAAGAAATGGCTTGATGAGTGCAGTTTTCTTTCTTGTGTTTACGTTACACATCAAAAAGTTAAGGTTAGCCATCAGCACATGGGATATAGGCAACTTCAGACAAAAAAAATTATAAAATACATCAATAAAAATTCAAATTAAAAAAAAAAAAAAAAAACTAAGGAAGAGGAGGTTATTACAATTCGATTAAGCAAAACTTTCTTTGGGGACAAAAAGCACATGGGGTTGTTGTTTTTCTATGTTTTGTGGGGGGAAAAAGTCTCTTACTCAGAGACCCAGACTGCATTTATTTAAATTAAAATGCAGTAAAAACAGTAATAATGTGAAATATACATATATTCTACAATTTAAAATAAATGCTTTCTATGTGAATATCATTTAAAATGTAATTTATTCCTGTGATCAAAGCTGATTTTTCAGCATCATTACTCCAGTCTTCAGTGTCACATGATCCTTCAGAAATCAGTATAATATGCTGCTCAAGAAACGTTTTCTATGTGAGTGAGTGAGTGAGTGAGTGAGTGTGTATGTGTGTGTGTGTGTGTGTGCGTGAGTGAGTGTCTGTGTGTGCGTGTGTGTGAGTGAGTCTCTGTGTGTGCGTGTGTGTGAGTGAGTCTGCGTGTGAGTGATGAGTGAGTGGGTGAGTGAGTGAATGAGTGAGTGAGTGTGTGTGTCTGTGTGGTCGGGCCGTTCAGTGTGTGTGTGAGTGAGTGAGTGAGTGAGTGAGTCTGTGTGTGAGTGGGTGAGTGAGTGTGTGTGTGAGTGAGTGAGTGTCTGGTGAGTGAGTGAATGAGTGAGTGAGTGTGTGTGTCTGTGTGGTCGGGCCGTTGGACTGAAGCATGATAGCACAGATAGCGCCGGCTCTACTGAGCCAGACAGATGGATTGGGTACGGACGATAAACAACTGCTGCTAATTTAATCCTCCACACGGACAAACGCTCCAGGCCTGCAGCACAGGACTACTGTTGTGCCAAAACTCCAACACACACAAATACAGATCACAGCGCTCGTGTGTAGTTCATCCGGGAGCGTCAGCGCTGAACATGTACAGTCACACGCAATCAGAACGAGCGCAAAGATGTCAGCTCCTCCAGAACGTGCTGCACTCTTACTTGGTGAACTTAAACACACTTACAGCAGTGTACCTTTAACTATTAAATTCAATACTTGGTCCATCAATAGCACATGTTTTCTATTGCAAGGTATGTA